AGTAAATGAATGGGTGGATGTGTAGATCGATGAATAGATGGATGCATAAGTAGATAGATGGCTGGATAGCAATTGGATGTATAGCCATCTTGGATGGATGGAGGGATGGGCAGATGGATAGATAGAGGATGACACATGGATATATGGAGGGATGGATAGATGAGTGAATAGACAGATGTTCGAGCAATAGAACAGAAAGATGGGTGGGCAATTAGGTGGAATGCGCTAGAAGTCCCCCCTACATGAGCCCACCTCTCACTTGCATCCCCTGGGCTAGGCTGTCGGTGGATTCTGCCTTGAATACCTTGGACACTTCTCTGGACAACTTGTGTGGCCTGGCCCAGTGCACCTGTGTACTAAGACTCTGTGCCCAACTACAAACCTGTAGGTGGAGAAAGAAGTGCGAGCCAGGAGGGCCAGCAGAGCTGCAGTTCTGGCTCCCCTGACTGTGGCGGGGAGCAGCTGTGCAGGCAGCAGGCCCAGGCCCTTTCCACAGCCCGCAGTAGCTCGTGGCTTCTTCTTAGCCCACCGATCCTCCGACCATGATACACTCAGGTGGCGCCACTTCCTGGGTTCATTTCCCTCCCCATAGCAGCCGAGGCCACCTACAACAGAAGAAAGATGACCTTCTCTGGTAGCTCACCCAGCTCTCAGGGGGCACAGGGAGGAGACCAGACTCCCCATCTTAGATGAGGTCAGGGCGATTTCTGGAAGGAGAGGGTGGAGACTGAGCTGTTTAAATCGCTCCTGAAAGAATGGGAGCAAAGAAAGGTCATGCCTCCTGGCTTCAGTGTCCTGCTTTCGTTCAGTGAGAAAGAGGACAGCTCCAGTACCTGCCTGCCAGCCCTTACCCACGTGTCCCCAAACCCAGGCCTGAGAGCCCCCAGGGGCTCCCTGGAGCAGAGTTACCAGACTCAGCAAAGACATCCCTGGAAGCCGAGAAGCTCAAAGTTTAGGACAACAGGTCCTTCTCTTTAGTATGTGTAAACCCCATGAAATACACCATACTACGAAAGTGTCGAGCTGAACTTGAAATTTACCTGGGTGTCCTGAATTCTGTACAGCAAACCTACTACTGCCCCTCATCAGGAACATGCTCCCAGACTGGACTTAAATCCCAGATCTGCCCCAGCTGTGGGGCCAGGTTCATGTCTGGGGTGAGGGGGAGTCAGCACAGTACCCATCCTATGGAGCAGGCAGGAAATGCCCATCCCTGAGCTCCTTGTATGTCAGATCTTGCCCACCCCCAGGCTGGCACTCTTGATTAGGAAAGCTGCAGCTAAGGTATGTGGTAGCCTGCTTCCACAGAGGCTCAGTCCAAGACCCCACATGTGCTATGATTTCTCTATTTGATAACGAAGGCAATGAAGTAGTTCATACCCCGTGGATACGCTGGGCAAAGGGCTGATTCATGTCTCCAGGCACCATGGAGCAGACCATGCAAAATGCTATCACTACTCAGAAGACCTGCACATAGTTTAAGAAGTACAAACATATTCGTTTCAAGAATTTTCTACTTTTAGACTCCATGGAGCACAGGTCACTAAAAGTGAGGCCTGGATAAGGGGGAGCTGCTGTGCCTTGACTTTAGACCTTCTTCTGAGGCTCCAGCCATGGAGTGTGGTCCTCCCAGAGGCAGGGGTGATGGGATCAGGTTACAGCTAGGACTGGAACAGCACAGAGCTAGTCCTGCCTTCCACCGCTGACTCCAGACATGGTACAGGCAGAGCAGAGGAGCACTCGGAGCTGGCAAGGGGATCTCAGACTTGAACCCTTGCCTGTGGGTTTGGTTCTCCCTAGAACTTCAGCTCTGCTCCCTGCTGCGGTGACCTCGAAGGAAAGAGTACTTTGAGCTCCAGGTGCGGAGTGGGGCAGCCAGGAAGGAGGCTCAGGGCAGGGATGCTTTAGTTTGCAAGCTATTCATGTTTTCTCAAGAGCTCCAGGACCAGTGGGGACCAGCTCACCTAGGGCCCTTCCCTCAGGGTGGCCTTCAGCTCTTGGAACAGCTCCTGAGGACAGTTCAGGTGCCAGTCGAGGAAAACACAGCCAAGACCTGACCCTAAGCAAAAGATTCCCAAGATTCCTGGATGCTTGTCATAGAACATGTACGATCTATGTCCTCAGGCATGGTCCCATGGTCTGCTGGCAGTACAGGATTCAGAAATGATGGTCCCAGATGGATGGCCCAGGATCTAGACATTGATGGAGGACTTCCTGCCAGGCCCGATGCCCACTGGCCAAACCTCTCACCATGTGGAGCCACAGTGCCTCATCTTCAGAGCTGCAGCGAAGGCTTAGTCTGTGAGCTTGACCTGAGTGAGAGCAAGTGTGACAAATACAGAGAGGACAAGCCCAAGCCCTGTGAACCGCACTGTCCCTGTCTCCTGAACCCCGCTGCCCAGTGAGGGAGCTTCCAGAGCAGGACCTATGGGAGACAAAGTCCCCAAAAACTCCAGCCCATCCCCACATCCTTCCGGGGACCCACACACTCCTGGCACAGTGTTCTCCTAGCTGGCAGGGAAGCCAGGAACACGCTGCACCTCCTCCCTATTCCTACTGCTTGACCGTTTTGCGACCTGTTCATTTACTTATAAAAAGGCAGGGATGGGGGTGGGGCAGCATCTGACAACGTGAAATCCTGCATGGACACAGCTTCTCCAGGCTCAGTGTGGGGAGCGGCTGACCTGGAGATGGGTCACACATGCGGAGCTGCAGCAAGGCCAGCCTGAGAACACAGAGCTCCCAAGGAGGCCAGAAAAACAAGGCCTTAGGTGGGTCCTTCCTCCTGTTAGGGGAGAGGTCTCACCTGTTACCAGCCTCTTGCTGATGCATAAATAAATGCACTGCAGGTGTTGGGCAGTTCCTTTTCTCCCATCAGAGAGGGGGTTCCACCCAACCTCAGCGTTCTGCATTCTCACTCTGGTCTTCATTTCTTCATCCTCCACCATCTTCCCCCTGGGGAATTTCAAGAGCTGCACTGCAGGTTGTAGCTCAGACTTTCTCGCTACTACATCAACGGCTGGACCAGTGCACGGATGCTGGTGCAAACTGACTCACTTTTTAACACTTGAATCACGAGTGTAAAAAGATTAAATGGATCCCAAGCCACACCTGGAATGCCAGGCCGAAAGGTTCCTGCAGACTTTTTTCTTATTACTTTATAAAATAAAGATATAAATCTATATTTTAAAAGATAACAGCTTCCAAAAGAGTCCCACTTTCAGTAAAGATAACACTTTAAATCTCCTGCCGGTTACACCCTGCTCAAATCTCATGCAGTAGCTGTCCAAGGCCTGGGGCCGCGTTCCTGCAAGCTCTCTGCGACCCTGATGGAGGGCCACGATTGTTCCGGCTGCACCTGCCTCCAGCTAGCCCCTACGGCCCCTGTCTCACACAAGACCCTGCAAGACTGGGGCTCCCCATTCCCTGTTCTGCGGGACCCCTCTACTGAAGTGGGGAACTGGTGGGGAAATTGAGGTGGAACTGAGTGAAGACAGCACGTCAGCAAGAGACGGGGACAGGACGCTGGGTTCTGCTGCCCCAAGTTTGAGGGGCTCCCTGGGCCCAGCACAGAGCAGGCTAAGACGCCTACAGTTTCACCAGGCCCCCAGCACGTACAGGGTTGATCCTGGTGGTTGCCTGCTAACACTGGAGAGGCTTTGCATCTGACAACAGGTCCCTGGCCATCTCTCTAAACCCTCACGGGTCCTTCACTGTGCCTTGGCCCCACCTGCCCAATGATACCTGTGGCCTGCAACCCGCCTTTTCTCCCAGGATGCAGACCCAGGAGAGCGGGGTTTTGCTTCCTTTCCCACACTGAGCCCAGCCCTAGCACACGGAGCAGCTGGGGGACAGCGGGCACCTCCGCCTACCCCACACTCACTTCTATCCTGGAGTCTCTGATCTATATAGGCCCGGCCCACGCCAGGATTGGTGGCCAAAATGAGGCCTCAAGAGGCTTCCTGCTGATTCAGCCAGGGCTCTACAGAGCTAGCGGACCGGAGGCGCGGCCGCCAGAGGGCGCCCGAGCCTGGCCCTCCGCGAGGTGTTGCCTTTTACAGCGGGACAGTCAGAGACCTGGGGACTCAAGTCTCCGAGCCAGTTCTCCAAGTGGGCGTGGCCCGGGTGAATGCGTGAATGAATGAATGAATCTCGTGCGTGCAGGCCTATGGCGCGCCTGCCCGGGTCCACGGTGTTTCGAGGAGACTTGCGCATGACACTGCTCCTGCCACCGGCGTCTGGACTCGACTGGAGCCCCAGCCCGGGTCCCCCGCAGAACCGGAGTCTCTGCGGCCGCCCACGGTGCAGACCCGGGCTCGGGGCTCCCGGGTTCCGGGTACAGCGCTGTCCCTTCGCGCTCTCGGAGAAGCGCGAGACCTTGTCGAGACGCCTCCACCTGGGCCAGCCGGCGTCCTCTGGGGAATAACCTCGGGGACAGGGTGGAATGATGCAGCCAGGTGTCCCGCTGGCCTCGGGTCGCGCTGGGCACCCCCGGGGAGTCCTGAGGTTTCAGAGACCCTGTGCAACCTCCACGCAGCCATGACAGTGTGCGGGACAGGACGATGAGAAGTTGGGGTACCCTCAGATCCCCACCCCTCTGCGGGTGCGGGTTGTGATAGCCGCGTGCACAGGGCGGGGGACCCGGTGCAGAGGCGCGAGGGCTTAGGTTTCACGGGGCCAGCGATACCGTGACCCGGCCAGAGCGGTCACCGAGGCTCCACACAGGGCCTTGGCCGAGGCTAGGTTGGCCATGTCCCAGAAGCCAGTGAGCCCCTAGGCCGCTCCAGCGGGCACCCCTGGTCCCCAGGGACGCATCCGGGCGGATCTCTCGTCTGTGCTGGGTCCTCACTCAGACTCCACCGTCCAGAGGCCCCGTGTCTCCACTCGCACCGTGGGCGCACGAACCCACGGGATCCCCGACCTCCTGGGCGCTCCAGGGAGGGCGGGACGGGGGCGGGGACGCCAGAGCCCCGGGCCTCAAGGTCCGCCCCGCCCCGCCCCCGTCCCGCCCCGCGGCCTCCGCTAAAGCGACCCGCGCTCGCTGGCAGACGCGCTCTTCTGTGCACTCGCCGGCGTCTTTCCATCCGTCCGTGCGTCTGTTTGTCCGTCTGTCAGCCGTCCCCAGCCGCCCGCGCCATGGACGCCAAGGTCGTCGCCGTGCTGGCCCTCGTGCTGGCTGCGCTCTGCCTCGGAGACGGTGAGTGGTCCGCTGCCTGTGCGCCCCAGCCCCGAGACTTAGGTGGCCACTTGGCAGCCGTTCTCTGAGCTCTGCGCCCCGCACCGAGCGGCCGCGGTCCATCCACCGGGTGCAGGAGGAGCTGGGTAGAGCGCTGGTCTGGAGCGGGGCTGCCTAGGAACCGCAGGCCGGGGCCTCCCCGCTGCTGCAGCTCGGTCTCCTCCGCGAGGGCTACGAGGCCTCTTACTCAGAGCGCGGGAGGCGCACACCCGGCGTGCGGAGGGCGCACTTTGCGCCTGGTCCAGCCCAGACGGTGCTGGCCGTGGCCAGGTGCTGGTGCGGCGCGGTGCGGGGTGCGCGTCTCCAAGCCCAGCGGTCCTCCTCCGCGGGCCGAGGCGCAGCTAATGTCCTACTTGCACCCTGCTTGCAGCGCTTCTGCGCAGCTCGGTGGCGCGAAGCGACGCGGACCCGCAGCGCCCATTCACCGCCAACTTCCCTTTTCCTGGGTCCCCAGAGCCAGGCCCAGAGTCCGGGGAGACCCCGCGCGCTGCTCCCCTGCCCCCAAACACACCTGCAGGCCGGCGCCTTTGTGCCCCGCACTGAGTCGCAGTGGAGTTCAATCACCAAGGCCTTGGGCCACTGGGAACCGCGGTGTCCTCTTTCACTGGGAAAGGGCTTAGCTTTCTTTTTTTCCTTTTTGACGCTGCGAGAAAACTGGCTGTGCTGTTACGGGACACCACTGCTGCAAACCAAAATAAACTGTTGCCTCTGAGCCTACAAAACAAAACACTGTGGGGCCTGAGCTCTTCCTTGGCTCCGAAGTTTCCTGCAGTGGCTGAGGGACACAGAGTGCTCTGCTGCAGCTGTTGTACCCAGAATCGAGCCAAGGAGCCTACGCTGGGTTCCCTCGTGAGGACCCCACAGCTGCGTGGCTGTGGGTGCGTGCCCTCCCCTGAGCCCAGCAGGAGAGGCCCTGCCACCCAGGGCTGCCCACCCGCGAAGTGCCAAAATGGCTGTGGCAGGCACCCCAGAACCCCTCTGGCACTGAGACTACGTAGGAGAGGTTCCTTTGCACTGGCCAGGTCCCCAGAATGGGACTCCAAACTGGACATTAATGATTGAGTGACCTGGGGAGGGTGCAGTGTCCTCCTGCACTCTACAGAACCTGCGCTACCCTCTCCCTAGTTACTGTAAGGAGACAGTGATGCACAGACCTAAGGTGATGCATAGACCTGGGGTGCAGCCACCCTGGGGGGGGGCGGTGCACAGAGGACATGGGGACCATGCATCTGCTCTCCCCCTCAGCAGCCAGGCAAGTCCTTTGCTGTACACCGGGCTGGGACAAATTTCCTTTTTCTTGACTTCCTGCACCGGTGTCCTCTGCACCACTTAGCCACCAAGCCACACTAGATGTCTCTCCTGGGCCCCTATGGTCTTCCTGTGTCCAGCAGCTGGATCTGGGTGCTCGGCCATCTCACGAAGCCAGGTGGGTTCGCTCCTACCTGCATGGAATCAGGATTCCCGTCCTCTGTCCTGTGCACGGAGCGGGCTGCTTTCTGGAAACTACTCTGGGAACCTAGCTCATTGGTTCCCAAATCCAGACAACAGGGGAGCCCGAGGGACTCTCATCTGTGCTGTGAAACTGCTGGAGAAGTTGGTAATGTAGACAAAAAGCTGGAGGAAAGGGGTGAGGCCACACAGCACTGGGCTCCCATTGAGGACTCCTGGGGGCTCTATCACTTTAAAGACCTGTGGAAACCCTGCTTGGGCAGGCGGGGGTCCTGGAGCAGGAATAAGAATTGCCTTTGAAGGAAATGGGTAATCCCGGAGGGCAGGGGGAGGAGAGAGAGAAAGCCTGTTTTGAGCTCAGAAAGGCTCTGATTTCTGGCCTGATCTCCTTTGCTGGTTAGTGGGGCCAGGTTGCTGGGGCTAGATCACCAAAGGTGTTGGGCAACACAAGTGTCCCTGTGTCTCTCTTGCTAGTCCCGGGTCATCATGGGCTGTAGCTCTCCTGCTCCCGTCCAGGACCAAGGGCAGTGGGAAAACACACACACACACACACACACACAGAGAGAGAGAGAGAGAGAGAGAGAGAGAGAGAGAGAGAGAGAGAGAGAGAGAGAGAGAGAGAGAGAGAGACTTTGGCTCTGGAGTTACCGAGGCTGCTGAGTCCTGGTTCTGGGTTGCTTCCCCCAGCGATTGTTTCCTGAGCACTGACTCCCACCCCTGTGGGGCTGTGGAGCTGCTGGAAGCACCCTGAAGTGGTTTGTGCCCCCTCCATGCCAGGTTTTCTCATGGTGACAGAGTCTTGCTTTGCTTCTGGTCTGGGCGGTGGAGTGAGCTTCTCCAGTAACTTGATGGCTAAATACACAAGGTTCCCAGCCCAAACCATTTTTGAACTGAATGTGGCCTGCAGAGAAAATGCAGTCAGCCCTGCAACCCCCTCCCCAGCTACGTCCCAGGTGCAAGACTCCGAAAGCCCAGCCTCCAGGAAGGCTGCAAGTGGCTCTGAAAATAAGTCTGGGGACTCCGTATTCTCATTTAACCCCAAGGAAAGAAGCCACAAAACCAAATAATTTAGGATATTAAGTGGGGCTTGGACAAAATCTGCAGGGGAAATAATTAAAAAACAAAATCGCAGAACTCGCAGCCCCCCAAGGGCTTGCAATTTTAGACTTAAAGGGCGAAGAGTCTTAAAGGGATGAAGGAGCCCCTTGCTAATTTACACTAATGAGTGTCAATTATGGCATTTTACAAATTGTCGAATTGGCAAACAGAGATGGTAATAGGATCCAGAGGCCTCAGCACCCCATCCCCCCAGCACCCCAAGCCACTTTGGAATTCAGCATCAGGAAGGCTGGAGAAAAGGTACCCCCAGCTCCTCTGGTCTCCTGGTGGGAGCTCCTGGGGTTCCTTTGTGGTTTCCAGGTTTGGGGAGAAGGTGAGGTGGGTGGGGTGGGGGTTCGGGTTGGGGGTGCTGGGGAGGGTGGCATGGTAAAAGAGGGGAGAGGGTCTCCTCCCTCCTCCTTCTTCCCCAATCCCTGACTACAGAGATCTCTCACAGAGACCTCCAGGAGTTTATTTTGCAAAGAAAAACTGGGAATCCTAGGCTTGGACTGAAACACTTCTCTCCTGTCATTCCTGCCTTGATCTGCAGACACATGTGCAGGCAGCTTCCATAGGAACATTCTGTCTCCAGGGTGCAGCACCCCCAGACCCCCTGTGCCCTGCCAGAGCTCACAGAACTGCCCCTGGAGATGTCCCAGCAGGATACACCTGTGACATTCGTTCATCCCTGCTCCCTCTACACCACCTTGCCAGAACTCCCGCCCCTGGCTGGCAGGGTAACACATCCCCTGATCTCTTCCAGGGAAACCCGTCAGCCTGAGTTACAGATGTCCCTGCCGCTTCTTTGAGAGCCACGTGGCCAGAGCCAATGTCAAGCACCTCAAAATCCTCAACACTCCCAACTGTGCCCTTCAGATTGTGTGAGTATTGAGCCGCATCCAGCAGGCTGTGGTGCCTCGACAGTACCGACAGTACCATGGAGAGTTGCAGAAGCTGGGGTCCATCCTGGAGGCTGGCACAGCTGGTGACAGCCTCTGAGGATGCAAAATATGCCCCCAGACCTGCATATCGAAAGCCTCTTACCCTGGGCTCCTGCTGGGCTTACTGTGGTCCTGGTCCCTTCTGTCCTAGCACAGCTGGCTGCCAGGGGCCCTGAGATACTGTGGGCTTCATCTGCCAAGGCTGCTGGCAGCAGCCACAGTTGTCCTGCCAGCTTGGGGGAGCAAACCCACTCCTTTCTCATTGCCAGAGAACACACAACCCATTCTTGGGGTCATCTTTTGCCATTTGGTGAAGCCTCAAGATTTGCAGCTCGCAATCTGCATACTTTCTCCCAAGTGCAGCTTAGTGAGTGTTTTGCTTTTGCCTGGTGGTGAAGGCAGCTGCCAATGTTTTATTGAATTCATTTGGAAAACCAAGTCATGCAAACACAAGGGGACAGAGATCTTTCCTGGGTGCACAAGACTGGTGGAGACGCAGGGAGAGAGAGCCCAGGACTCCAAGCATACCTTGGGGTGCTGCCAGACCCAGGAGGGGGGACCAGAGCCCTGGAAACATCCCTTTCTCAATAGTCCTAGGGCTCAAAGTAGGGTGGGGATGCAGAGTTGGAAGAGAGAGGTGCCTTCCCCACACATCCCCACCCTCTCGCCTGTTTGAGGTCTGGCTTTCTCCTCATTCTTTTTACCCTCTGCACTTACTCTGTCACTTACAATATGTCTTTGGGTCCTAGAAGATGATTGTCTTTTTCTTTTTAGGTACTGGAGATTAAACTCAGGGCCTTTGCACTGAGCTACAACCCAAGCCCTTCTTAATTTTTCGTTTAGCAACAGGGTTCTCACCAAGCCCCTCATTTGCCCACATTTTGGGCTCAAACTTACCATCTAGAGGTTTGAGGCTGTTTTGTCGATTGAGTATGACCCTCTGTCTGCTGGCGGGGGTGTGTGAAAGTTGTGCAGTGTGTGGCCAGGGTGGACCTGCTGCATGGCACAGATGTGCCAGCTCACTTCAGGGTGCATCCTGACATGGGGAGGGACCAGAGTGGGTCTCAGAGCTGGGAAAACCCTAAAGCAAACACACAGCGGGGCCCAGGCCTGCATGCCATGCACCTGCACATGGTCCCCAGGGCGGGGAGTCACCCCCGACTCTCATGGCTGTGCCCAAGCCACCGTGCTGGGCTCTGTTGGCCACACAGCTCTGCCAGGCGGGGCAGGGTGTCCTGGGTGTTAGGGTTACACAGTACCCAAGAAGCTGCTTCTTCATTCCTCCTCCACCTCCTCTCTGTCCCTGCATGGGGCCACCCCTCCTGGCTCTGTCTCTTGCCAGAGCTCAACAGTTCTCTCTGGAGTCACCCTCTCTCCAGCCTGCCCTGCATGTGTCAAGGTACCCCATCAAGATAAGGCCACACTCAGTCTCTGGGGTCCCCCAGCTGAAGCCGTTGTCCTTTGCCTCACAGGCTCTGTTCGCCCTGACCTGCTGGCTTGCTCACTCTTGGACTTCCCTTCTGCCTTATTCACATGCCAACTCCTACTGCACCTTCAAAGCCCACTCCAGTGTTCCTAGGCTGCATTACCCCTTGCTGGCATTTCTGTGCCTCGACCCGGTCAGGGCTGGAGCATGTCACACCCCAGGATCTCCCCTCCCCAACCCACCCCGAGCACCTCTCACGTCCAGACCTCTCTGTCTCCACAGCGCCAGGCTGAAGAACAATAACAGGCAGGTGTGCATCGACCCGAAGCTGAAGTGGATCCAGGAGTACCTGGAGAAGGCTTTAAACAAGTAAGAACATTCGGCGGCCCGGGCGGACTGTCCACTGGCCCCCACTGGCCCCGCCAGGAAGGCTGACTCCAGGGCTGGAGGGCGGAGCTGGGAGGAGGCCCGTGCGGCCGCTGGGTCTGACAGCTGTAGACACCGCACACACAGCCTCTGCACCGAATTCAGCCTGTATCCACCGTGCCCGACCCTCGCACCTAGGAGCTTTCGTGCCTGGGGTTTTCTAAGCCAGGTGGCCCCTCATGGTCTCACCTTCATCCTCATGGTCATATCTTAAACCAGTGATAACTTCAAGATCTGTACTCAGCTCGTGGCCTCCCTGGGGCCTCCGGGCACAGTTAGGGGAAAGCGGCTTCTTAGCAGGGAACTCCAATAAGTGTCCTTTGGGACTGCTCCTGTGGGGCATCCCTCGGTGTGGCCTCTATGTGACCCTGAGAGACTGGGCCACCACTACCCTCAGTCCTCTCCCAGTTGGCCAGTGGGGGATCTCGGTGATGGGTCGGTCTGAGCTCCGTCTGAAGTCTGAAGCCGCTGCCCCTGGGCTGTGCTGGAGGCCCCCGCTGCCCACCCTCCCTGCTCCAGCCGCATGCTTCCTGCTTCCGCCTCTCCTCCAGCCTGCTGGAGCCATCCCCCTCTCCTCCCGCCTCTCCACCCCACCGGGCCCTCTGTGAGACCCCTTCCAGCCCCCTCCAGAACGGAGCCAGCCCCTCCTGGAGAAGGCACGATTACACCCCACTTTCCTGCGGGAGTCTGCAGAATTTTAATAAGTGCAGCTTCCAGTGAGAGAGCTTGCTGCACAATCGGGTTTCCTGCTTGCCCCTAAGCCTTCACAGGCTTGGGGCTCTGCAGACCGGGCCTTCTGAAATCAGAAGCATAGGGCTCCTAGCAGGCGGCATCTTGCCTCAGCCCCTCCAGAAGCCATGTGGGTTCTCAGGTTCCAATCAGGAACGTAGGCAGCTGGAACCCTGGTGCATAATAAACATGATTCACAGACGGCCCTGGTGGTACATGTAACTTCTGGCAAGGCATTTTATACATATATATATATATTTTTTTGTGTGCACATTTTCTTTTGCATTTTGTTTCTTTAGAAAACAAGTGTACTTCAGAATATATTTGTAGTGGGAGAGTTCATATATTCGAAGTGGAGCCATAGAAATGCCAGTAGCACCTTTCCTTCGACTCTGAAGCTACTGGCAGAGGGTACAGAAATCTCTGTGATATATAAGTGTTAATCATTGCAGCTTCTCCATGTTAGCCGCAGTATGTTTTCACTTGTATGACAATTGTATGGTGTGTCATGGTATACGCTAGCAATAAAACGCCAGCGGTCTTCCTGGTGGAAACCTCCTACTGTACGTGGGGATTTATTTACCGATCAGGGCTTGGTGGCGAACGCGCAGACCTTAGTGGAGACTGAGTTAAGCCACCTGCCGGTCAGGTGCGTGGGACCCCATGACAGGGTCCATGCTGAGGGACAGCTCACAGGCTGTTCTGTCTTGCCGATTAAATCTGCAATTCAAGTTTTTCAGTATTTTTTTAATCCATGCTAGTGTCCCAATACATAAATTTGACTCACTAATCCATCTTCCTCTCTCCTCCTCCTTGACCCCCCTAACAGCCTCATGTAATCCCGAGACTCAACCCCAGTAATAGCAAGCTTCCCATGCTCCCATGTAAAACTCCCATGACTCCCAGCCATGGTTAATATTGGGCTTTTTTCCCCAGAACAGGTGCCTCACCCATAAATCATTAAATACCATTTGCCTCCAATCACCCTAATGCAACAGTCAGGAGCAGTCGCTCTAATGGAACTCTGCTAACCACACTGTCCCTCGCTCCAGATAACCTCGGTGGTACCCAGAGTGGGCACGGCGGGGTCGGGCCACCTTCCACCTCCTTTGCCCAGAGCCAGGATGGCAACTGAGCCCCAGGCCTCCAGCTGCTAAGCATTATGGTGTTGGAAACACAGAGACCTTTTAGAGAGGGCGGAAAAGGCTCAGCTCTGAGTAGGTGGGGGGAGTGAGACCAGGCTGCAGGTAGAGACCAGGGATCCCAGGGTAGGTCCCATCCCCAGGGGGTCTCAGTGTCACAGGTGTAAAGGTGGGCTTGGAGAATGGGCCTTCTGGCCCCAGACAGTGTCCAGCACTTGGCTGCATGGGGAAGGGCCTGTCCAGCCCAGGAGCCACCCTCGGCCAGCCTGAGTATGTGCGGGCTAGGAAATCTCTTGTACTGCAACGTGATTAATGGTTCTAATTTTATCTAAGGGGGCGCAGAGAAGACAAAATGGGGAAAAAAGAAAAGATAGGAAAAAAGAAGCGACAGAAGAAGAGAAAGGCTGCCCAGAAAAGGAAAAACTAGTTATCTGCCAGCTGGATGGACCGCAGTGCTTCCCGCTCGCTCTCGGCGCTTTATAAACCCGCTGTCCCCTGGCCCGGTGACCCACATGCTGGGCCGCGCTCTGCCACCCTTTCTGTGCTCCTTAAGGCCCTGCTGGCCTGCTAAGTTATGAAGACAGTAATTGTTCAGAGACTGTGTGCTTAGGATGCTCCTAGCATGGCAGGTCCAGCCCAGGCCACCCAGCTCTGTGCCTTAGGTTGCCCGTCCCCACGGGGACCCAAAGTGCTGCCTGGCCAGCAGTGTCCACGGCCCACTGGCCCTGAGAGGTGTCCTGTGCCTCCACCTGTCACTTCAATCTGCAGTTCCTGCAGCCTTCTCAGGACGGGCCTTGGCCCATTGGCCCCTGTGGCCCAGCCCTCTCCTCCCCTACCTCCCCAGGTCCCTGCTCCCTGCCAGGCTGGACAGAGGCCTCACCTGCAAGTTCGGGGGTTATGCAGTGGTGTGGGGTGCACAGGAGCAGATAGAAATGTAGATGCTTCCCTGGAAGGATTCTCTTTTGGTGCTTACTCCAGAGTTGTGGAATGGGTCCTCCATGCTGGGGACAGATATGTGCAGGGTGTGCAGCTGTGGGGTCTCCCCTCCCTCGTGCTGAGAAGGGCTCCAGCACAGTCAGTCCCCACCAAAGGGAAACATCTGCCTGCACTGAGTCTGCTTCTGTTCTAGAACTTTCCTCCCCACCCCCTTGATGTCTGAGAATTTGGCCAAGTCTCTCATTTAGACAGGAGGATGGGCCTGTGGGAGGAGGCAAGTCATGAAAATGAGCGTCTCCAATCGTGGACCCTTGTCCCCTTCCACCAGTACCCCCTTCCCAAGGCTGGAGGGTGCAACTGGGGGACTGGGCTCAGGGTGCTGGGTCCCTATGCGCCGGGGGAGGTAACAGAACACACAGCCATCCACCTCCAGTGAGGATGTTCTCACAGCAAGGCATCTGTGTGGTCACTACCCGTGCTGCCTGGTCAGCTTTCCCAGCAGCACTGCTCTTGGTGGCTGTGGGGACAGCAGGCTCCAGCCTCTAGGTGAATAGATATCCACCAGATCCCTTCCCCACTCCTGGGCGTTTTTCCGCAGAAGCCGGCACTTTTCTCTTGGGACTCATCAAGGTATCCTTGCTCTTACTAAGTAAGCCCTCCAGTGGCACCCCGTACAGGAACCACTGCAGGGTAGGAACAAGTGAATTCCCCTGGCCTCTCCGTCTCAGGAGAGTCTCATGACGCCCCCAAGGGCCATACCCTGTGGCTGAAGACCCTCCTCTGAAGAGCAGAAGACCCTGCCTGGATCCTCTGGGGGAAACCAGGAGTCCAGTCACAGCCAGGTGAGGGGCGTGGGCCACCGTGTGCCACCTGGCCCGGCGACTCCCAGGAGATTCCTGGGGCCACTTCTGGCTCCTGGAGACCACCAAAGTGGCACAACACCAGCCAAGAGATACCAAGGACAGTTGTGGGGCTGATGGAAGTCGGAAGTGCCTCTCCTCCAGACCTCCGAGCATGCGGTGCCCGCCCCACCCTGACCTGGCTGGGATGGACTTGTGGCCTCTGCTGGAGGCCATGCATGGGCCTTGTCCTGTGTTCCGTGTACCATGCCTTGTGCTGCTGGTCATCTGTCCGCTGTCCTGTCATTTCTGGTGCTCCCTATCCCGCTTTGGCCTGCTTGTCCCCGCCCCCTTGCATCCTGCCTGCCCTGTCCCACAGGGTGACCGGACCACAAGCTATGCGGGCCTTGCAAAGCCCCTTTAATGGTGTCTCCTCTGTTCTGTTAACAGGAGGTTCAAGATGTGAGAGGTGGGCGAGACGCCTGCGAACCTTACAGGAGCCCAGGCCTGCAGTCAGTGTTAGGGAGGGGCCGGTGTCCCGCTCCTGGGCAGGACCGGACACGGGGCTAAGGGCTTCGTTTGCACAGCTCCCCTACCCTCACCATTGATTCTGTAGCAGAACTCATGGTGTTTATTTCTCATTTAGTTTGATTATCCAGTGTTATCGTGGCAGATAGGAACTCAAGCTAAGGCCATTATGTTATTTGCTTTATTATAATATCTTTCCCGTGAAGCCGCCCCCCCCAACCCTTGTGAGCTTTGGATCCAGGTTGAGATGGGAGGTTCACCCCTGTCCCAGTAGATGGGCCTGCCTCCTTCCCTCAGATTGTGAACAGCAGGGCTCCCCAGGCCACGCAGGCTGGCTCAGAGCAGAGACCACAGACCTCCTGCCGCTCCCTCTCACCCATCGCTGTGCTCCTCATTCTGTGTCTCATCCATCCATCCGTCCATCCATCCACCCATCGTCCTGTGTCTCAAGACTGTCTCCGTCACCCTGAAAAGGATGCTCTCCAGATCAAAGCTTTCGCTCCCATTGGGCACCGAGAGGGAAGCCAAGTGCCCGTGAAACACTGTATGCGCCTCTGTCTTGTGCAGGGGGACCCCCTGTCTGCAGTCCACTTCTGTGTCCCCAGTCATAGCCAGACTCCCGCACTGTAACCCCTGTCTGGGTGCATGTGCTGCCTCTTCCTGGTGTGCAAAGGCTGAGCGTGGGGAGATGCCCTAGGGCCTCTGCCTGGTTCCCAGTGCTGACTAACTGACTCAAACAGCCTCAGTTTCCCCATGGGCCCAGCAGACAGAGCCTGAGGGAACATGGGTGGCAGCAGTGCTGACCCCAGCCCTGCCGACTCAAGATGCTGCTGCAGCTGCTGCTGCCTGGGTTGCAGAGTTCTGACTCAGTGCTGTTTAGGACACGACAAGAATTCACCTTATTATTATTTTCAGGATGCAACCTGTACTAGTCCCAGAGTGAAGACCCTCCTGGGTTAGTGTCTGACCTCACCCCCAGCAGGGTTGCCCATTTCTCTTGTATCCCTGGCCCAGCATCTCCAGCAGGGCACTCGCTCCTTCAGGAAAGCGGCCCAAATCCCTGGATTTGGAGTGTGGACCAAGAGCAATCAGTGTGCAGTGCTGCTCAAAACTTTCTGTCCACTCTCCCTGCAGTCAGCCTCTCCGATCCCAATGGAAGATGCCCGTAAAATTCTTTAAATGGAGAAGGTGCAGAAAGGAGGGGCAAGTCCCAAGTCGTGAGTATCTGATCGGTAACAGGGACCGGGCCTTTCCATAAATGGACTCTTAGTAGAAGCAGGAGGCAAATCTATCCACCAGAAGTTCCCCCTAATTGAAACAAGAATTTAAGATCTCAAGCCAGCCAACGTGAAGGCTAGAGAAGGTCTATTAGTTCCTGGTATTAGAACTAATTTCCAAGCTGTGTTTGAAATTGACTCATCACTACAGTGACTCTGAGTTATCCCAGAGATGACCAGACCTCAGTGGACAGTGGCTCTCCAGGTAGACCGAGATATTTAAATCCTTTATGGAAAATTCAGAAAATGCTTTCCTAGACCCAGGACCACCCATTGAGTCAAACCTCTTGCTCCCAGGACTAGCAGGAGTCCAGATCCCACCACACTGAGGCAGTCACCTCTGTGCCCCCTCCCCAGGGGACAGCAGATCAGAGCAGAGCGCCATTTGTGTGACAATTCATCCCTGCCGAGGAGCTGCCCCTGCCAGGAGACTGACTGGCTGTAGCGAATTCATTTCAGTGGTCCATTTGCAAAGGAAAAGTCTTCCCAGTCTAATCCCTTTGCTTCAGAGTCAAGTTCTCTGCACCCAGGAGCTGTGACTGGGGACAGCAGCTGTCCCCCCTCATTCCCTGGTCTCTGCGACCCGTGCTTCTCAGCTGCCAGCCTTTGCACCGGTTGGGAAGGGGCTGGGGGCTGTGGTTGTGTTGTGTGTGGGCGTCCAAATCTGTGCCTTGTGTCCTTTATACCATTGTCTGTCCTCTGCCAGCCACTGAGACCCCAGCAAGGGTGCGTGTATCCTGGAAAGGAAGAGGTTGGGCTCTAAAGAACAGAGGCCATCTGTCTGTGTGTCAGGAGTCCCGAGGCCTGAGTCCCCACCCACAAGACCCTGTCTGCTCCTCCATGGTGCGATTCTGTCTCTGGTTTTTCACCCATAAGGGGCTTCCAACCTGGGAACCAACCAAGCACCCTTCTGGAAGATGGGCCCTGATTCCTCTATGCAGTTTCCCTGACCATCCTGAAGGAAGCCCAGCCCAGAACTGCTCCCAGAAACCCTCAGCTCCCCAAGGCTGACCGTGGCATTGATCCGCAGCCTTGCTGAGCGCTCAGTGGCTGAGCAGAGATGGGTTCCATGTTCAATGTGATGAATACTGTATCTGTGTTGTCAGTCGCATCTCCCGATAATGTGAAGCTGGCCCAGGAGAAGGCATCCCTGTGCAAAAGTGTGCTTCTTTTTTTTTAAACAAGTCTTTGAGAAGCAGCAATTTCTACTCTGAAGTCATATCAGTCTGAAAAGATATATGTGCACTTAACAGTTTCCTAATAAAAGTATGCAGATGGAACCACCTCGGGTCTGTAATAAGTGTTGCAATTTTTCAGACTTGGCTTCCTCCTCCAAGCCAAGACCTGGGATATAATCGTGCCACGGTGGTTGGTGGGACGCTGGCCATCCTCATCCCACAGTGGAAGATGAGGCAATGCATGCATCCTCACAGGGGAAAGTGTCTCTTCCTGGGAATGCCTTGGGTTTGCAGGAATTACGACTGAGCCTAACTGTAGGGTCCCAGTGGACAGGATTCCACCAGCTCCCACTCAAGGACCAGTCAGAGGGACAGATGCAACAGCAATTAATTCAGTAAGGCCACCTCGGAGGAGTGGGGATCAGTACCCTAAGCCTGTCCCTGGGTGTACACCTGGCTCTGGGTTTACACCACAGAAGCTAGTGGCCAGGCCACGCCAGGCTGTGGCTGGACTGATCTTATCTCATATCTGGTTCTGCAGGCACTGGTATCAGGGAACAGGACCACTCAGGGTGACCAAGGTCATCTTGAAGCCATCTGCCACCAGGATCATTTCTAGAGCCTGAGGAAGTTGGGTAGAAGTAGGACTAGATCCAGCCAGAGGAGCACCGAGGAGTTGGGTGGACAGCAGTCCCCAGTTTCAAAGGAGCCAGGTTCAGGACAGCTCAGGGCCTGTGTGGCCAGCTGACTTCCAGAAGAGCTGACTTCCATGCCATATCCCCTGCCCTCTCATCTCATCCCCATTTAGCAGCTGTGGCCAGATACCAAGTCCTGCCTAGACTGAGGGGTCTGGTGAACAGGCCCTGGTCCCACAGGATCTGCTGTAAGAAAGAGCATTTTAACAAAGTGTGGAGTGTCGAGCACTGGGAGATCTGAGGTCCCTAAAACTTCCCTAAAACATGGAGCTGGGACTTGAGAGCTTTTGGTTCTTTCTTAGGGCTAGTGCAGGACATGGAGGCTCGGAGGGTGGGTGGGGTGAGGTGGGCCCTGGCCCCCTGGCACTCCCTCCTGTTGGGCACAAACCACACACAGGAACAAGTCCTGGCTGATAGGAAGTGTGCCCCAGCTTGGTTCTGTGACTGAAGTACAGAGCCGTGAACTGGATTGCATTGGGTCTGCTTGTCCCTTTTCCCACGCTGAGAACAGCTGGTAGTGGGAGACAGCAGAGAGACCCACATTTTGGAGACCCTGAAGTGGGTTCGTGAGGCCAGGAAGCCCCAGGCCAGGGCTGCCAGAAGATGCTGGGAGACGTGGTCCTCAAAATGTCCTGACCCCATCCACTGGCTGCCATGAACTCCAGATAAATTCCTCTAGAGTCAGAAATAAGGGTTTCAGCTTTGACCCCTAAAGAAGTGGGTGAGGGATGCTAGGAAGAGGAGGGGGAGGGGCTGGGCCCTCAGGGCAGCCAGCAGAGGCCCCCGGCCCTCTCCCTTGCTCAGCTTGACCCCTGCTATGGTTCCTATCTAGAGCTCCCCCCAAAGCCTCATGAGCTGGTTGGTGGGGCTTTGAGAGGTGACTAGATCATGGGGTGTAATGCTCACAGGCGGACTGGTCCACAGGTGAGTTTATAGCTAACTGTGGCGCTGGGAGGTGAAGCCTGGAGGAGGCACTGGGACACTGGGGGCATGGCCTGGCACCCCCAAGAGGTAGGGTGCAGGAAAGACTGTAGAGCACTGCTGCCAAGCTGGTGTCCCTCTGTCCCTACCTGGCTGCGACTCCCACCTCCCTCCCAGCTGGTGTCCAGCTTCCTGTGTCACAGAATGAAGGCAGGAAGAGGGATCCACACAAGCTCCACCTTGTATCCAAAAACCTGCCCCTTCCATGGCCACCACTGTCCTTACTATCGCCTGTGTGGAGCCCAGTGCTGCCTGGTCACCCAGCCCCTGAGAGGTGGAACCCAGCACTGCTCACTGGGAAGGGGACAAGAGGACAGGAGGGAGCACCCGGAGGTCAAGGCCCACCTAACCCCACCCTCCCTCCAAGCCCCTACGTCCTGCACGGGCCCTGAGAGAGAGCCAAATACTCTCAAGACCCTGCTGACTTTCCCTCCCTTCTGTACCATAAAACTCTCACTGTGATTGGCCGTGATGATACACACCTGTAATTCCAGCACTCTGAGAGGCTGAGGCAGGAAAATCACAATTTCAAGTGCAGTCTGGACCACCTGGCACCTTACTGAGACCCTATCTCAAAATTTGTTTTAAAGGGCTAGTTTGGAGCTCAGTGGAAAGGCATTGGATTCAACCCCAGTGCTGAAAAAGTTCACTGCAATGCCATGTCACACAATGACACCTCTGATGAGACTCGCAAGAAAGCAGCAACAAAATCAGCCCCAGTAGCGCATCCCCGGACCCCGCGTTGTGCTGTTTCTCCTCTCACAAGCAGCCCATAGAGTGCTGTGCCTGTGTCCAATAACCCTGACCCCGTCCCCGTCCCCAGTATGTTCCCACCCCTCAGCTGTTCCACTAGAACTGCTCTTTGTCAGTGTCTCTAGAAGACCCGACTCAGGAAACCCAAGGCCAGCTGTCAGCTCCAGGCTCTTCAGTGCTCGGCTCAGCTTTGTTGATTGCCTCCTTCTGACGGTGCCTCTGCTTACCCCAACATTCTCCCCACTCCACGCCTCAAAGCCTCTACTCTGCGTCCCTCTTCCTCCAGGCTGCCAGCACCCCAGCTCTCCCTCACACCTGGGTCACCTCTTTGTTCCTGGGCTCCAGGCAGCACTCCCAGGTCCCCTCTGACGGACATGACAGACACAGGGATGTGACTCTGAGACCCACCATGCCCACCACTGCTGCAAGGCAGCTCTGGCCACCCCGTGGTCCAGCGTGGCTGTGGCAGAGGCAGTGACAGGGTCCAGAGTGACGCCTGGTGAAGGTCTCTCTCACCTCTGGCTCCTGTCCCCTCTGACCTGGCCCCTGGTCCTGGGCAAGCCCTCCACAGGACACTGTCCACACTCCAGCACTGGAGACAGCACTTGTGCATCTCTGCTCATGTGGCCACCTCATGCTGCTCAACCCAAAGGCCTGTCCAGGGCACCTCTATTCTCTGCTCCTCAAGCCTCACCAGAGAGGACCCAGTTCATCTTCCTCACCATTTGCCCCTCTGGCCAGTAACTTTTGATTGGTGGTAGCTACCCTCACCCCTACGCTTTGGACACCTTTTTTGCTCTTCTCTGTGACAAAGGCAGCAACCCCTGCCCCTGGCTGTGCGCCCTCCTGCATACTCAGGGCCGCTCAGTAAGCTGCTCTGCTGACCCAGCTCTGGCCCACATCTGTCTGTGGGACCCACGTTCTGCCCCTCTGGGTCTCCTGTGCCTACACTTCTCCAGGTCCCAGCATGTGGGCGCTACAGCAGTCCCCTCCCTGGGGGTCCAGGTTAAGCTGCTTCTCCAGAGCCCCTGCTCCCCAGCTCCCCCACTACCCCGTGCTATATGTACAGTGCCCTGCAAAGTATCATGAGCTGCCTTAGCCCAGACCCAGTGGCTCTGGCCTTTGTAACCGGTGGCCACAGTCGGTGCAACTCCAAAGGCCAGTGACATGGGCAGTGCATCACAAGGGGCCCAGGAGCATCCTGGGGGTGGAGGTGATCCAAACACTACGATGCCAAACAGACAGAGCAGCGCCTGCAGCCTTCTCTGGGTCCTTCGGCACCACACGTGGCAGCAGCCGGAGTGACAGAGTGGGTCTTCGGAGAGAGGGCTGCCAGGCTCGAAGCAGAGCTTGGCACGTGATCTTGTCAGCATTTAATCCAGGCCCACTGGGCACTGGCCTGGCCTGGTAGGTGCCCCCGACACACTGGGCATGGTGGCCAGCCCTGGGGGGGAGCACAAGAGACAGGGCTGGACTCTAGAACAATTGCTGGCCAAGTTCAGAACTACAGGCAGAGAGGTGGCTCAGGAGGGGGTGTGGCTGCCCCTTGCAGCTGCAGGGCCCAGCACAGTGCCACTGACCTTCTCCCCTCTTCCCTTGTACCTCCCACCAACGTGGGGCTGTAGGCCTCCATCACATGAGCTTTCGACCTTGAGTGAACAATCATTCTGGGCATTCCTGAGCCCCGGGGCACCAGCTGTCCTTCGTCCGCTATGGGTGAGTTCTAGCGTGGTACTGGCACCCGCCGAGTCCAGCTCTTTCCAGTTCTTCCTAGAGCACTCCTTACTGGGGCCTTGGGAAACTAGAAGCCACCACAGTCACACAAGCCACGTGACCGAGCTCCTGGGGACACAGGGACACCTGCCTGGTGCTTTCCATCAGGCTGGTGCTTCCCAGGACAGCCGAGCCCACACAACTCTTCCTGCTGCACCTTTTTCAGTGGATCCAGATGCCAACCTGAGTGACACACAGGGAAATGGGGCAGCAAAGCCACACAGCCTGTCCTTGCCATCCACACGGCAGCACCCAAGGCAGGGCTGCGACCTGGGCTTGTGCCCCATGAACCAAGGGTACTGCTGGGTTTAGAGGAGAGCACATTCAGGGGCAGTGCCAGCAAAACCCATGCACCCCTCAGAAGCAGCAGCTGGAAAACAATGCAAGCATCAGGAGGAGAAGAACCAGGCTATGGAAACACTGGCCTAGGTATATGCCTGGGTGCACACGGGTGTGCCTGTGATGGCCTGAACATAATGCTTATTCCCAGCTGTGGTCAGAGCAGCTCCTTCTCTAGCATTTGCACCAGTGACAAGCCTCTCCAGCCTTCCTCCAAGGAAGGAAGAGCAAATCTGCGGGCAGTGACACCTCCTTGCTGGGCATGAGAAGAAGCACTAGGAGAGTGCACTAACCTCCATGATGTTGGGGTGCACTGTACAGCCAAGGTATGGCTCCAACAATTACTGTTTTCCTCCCCTAGAGAGCCACAGACACTGTAATGAAACAGGTGACTGAGTGTGACCAAGAGTGTCGTGGGTACAGCGGTCTGTCCAGTTGGCCGGATGTCACACTCACACAGCAGCAGCTCTGGGACCCAAGCCGTTTTCTCTGACTCGTTCTGGGCATTGCTGGGAACATCCATGGCTTGGATCATCCTGGGAAGGGTGCTGTCCTCACTTTGTCT